CTCAGTGAAGAGCGGATCTTCCCGTGTGGAAAGTGGATGTGCAGTAGTAGTGCGTACGATACGGCTACAGATGCACGTTGACGTGGTTCAGCGCAGTGGTCGTTCCCTTTTGGTTTGACAAAAGGTAGAGGATGGTTGGACGTCTTCGGTGTAAGAGTTGTCCAACATCCTAGATGGCAGGAGAATTGTGGGTAATACCCTTTCCTTTGCTTGGTTGAGTGTCTGAATCTAGTGGCGTAGATTCTGGCTCATTTTATGCTCTGGTTGGCTTCGCCATCCAGGAATTTGTACATATTGTTTGATAAAAGGTTAATTACGAAGAGTGATCTGTTATGTAATTGAAACTATCCAGTGACAGTTATATAGCACCCACGGCTGTTCACGAAACCGCGGAATACGTGGGACTGTTCGGGAACTTTGGGATTCCAACCCCAACGTTCAACCAGCACCAGCTGAACGGACACCCCCCCCCCGCGATTCCAACAGATCAAGTCGCCATTTTTGTAAATTGCAAACCATTTCCGTGTGACAGGCTTTCCTATGGCACTTTTTCCGTACCTCGCTTAGGCCGATTTTTTAGCCTCATTGACAAGCGATGAAAAGCAGGTAATTTTTTTTCTTTCCGGGATATTCTAATTCTAAGCTTCAAAAGTAATTAAAAATACATAATATACAAAAAACGGTTAGCATACTTTGTAGAGCGGAAAGAGCTCCATCGTATAATATTGCACATTTGTCAAAATGCAAAAATCTTTGTGAAAAAGGAAAACCAAGTCTATTCCGCTACGAACTTATCACTCAACCCAATACATTTGAACTAAGACACTAGGTATCATAGACCACGGTATAGCATCGTTGTGTCAAACCCATGGGGGGTCGTACTTTTGCTCTGGGGAGGGGGGTCGTATTTGTTTATTTTGATAGTTGATTTTTTCTTGTGGAAAAGGGGGTCGTATTTTTTGTATGCACTATATGCATTTTGTACGCCCGTGGGATATACGTTGCATAGTTATTGTATACCCCCCCCCCCGCTCGACAACTTTTTCGCCGACTATATACTCATTGCTCGTCGTCGGCGAAAAAGCCGTGGAGGTGGGAGGGGGGGGTCGTGCCTGGACCCCATTCGAAGGGGGGGGGTCGTACTCACACCGACATTTCGCACATCCCCATGCTGTACCCTGTCATAGACTGGCACCGGCTTAGTTGAGCAGTTAGGTTAGAAGTGGCTCCACATCTAAAATGAACTCCAAGCATCTAAAATTATATCTCTCGACTGCCCGAGTTTTGGTTAGTATGAAGAAAGCGTATAATCACAATTCGCGATGGAATAGGTGGAGGCGGTGGCCGTTACTGCATGGACATTTTTTCTCTGCTGAATAAATTAGCATCTACGAATTCATATTCAACCTCACAGCTCTCGAACAGCCCCTGCAATCGCGATTTCTGTTTTAAAAAGGAGACAGCTTTTAGCCATCGCTGATGTATGCACAGTTATTATTACAAGAGCTCTAGCTCATTGGTAAAACGCCTCCTCCCCTCTCAAAGACTCAAACATTGACCTCTCGCTTTTGCAGGCGAGCACGAATTGTCGTGAAAAGCAAACATTATCCGACAGCCG